AATGCCCAGCTGGCCAAAGAGCCTCGTCAACAGACTTTCTGGTTGCTCTTAAAATGATTATGATCATATATTCCTGTTAAGCAGGGCTAGGGTCTTTAACACTTCTTCACAGCTGGTCCCTCACACACCTGTGCGGTGGTTATGATCTGCAGTAGACACCTTCAATTTGTGCTTATATATATTTTTAAAGGAAATATATATAATATATATGAAAATATATACATTTTAAAGGAAATCAATTTATCACTTACATGTATATGCATGCATACACACATTCTTGTACACCAGAAGCAGGGGGATACGCTGGCCCTTCGAATGAGTCTGGTTTAATCTTTTCTTTAAATAGGAAGTCAAATTCATATAGTCTTCCAGTGTGCAGCTAAATGGTAAATACACAGTTAAAAATGAGTGTTTTGTTGATTGTATTTAAAATGAGACTTGAAATATCAATGAAACTGCAGTAGGTGTTGGGTGTGCTCTTGTGACACTGCTCTGCTTTCTCAGTACAGCTCTATCTAATCTTTACCTTCCTTCTAAACGTTGCTTGCTGTGAATGCAAAGGATTAACAAGAGACTTTACTGCTTGCAGGAGCTCCTGCTGTTTATTTTGGCTTTCCCCAGCAGCACTACGGTATGTAATGGAAATGGAAAACACAAGTGTAGTGAGCAAATATTCACTAAACTGATGTTTTTGCCCTTGAGAGAACAAGTGGATGTTAAATTCCAACCTATATTTGCATATTCCCATATTTAATTGCATGTCAGGACATCCAATTCTGTGAAGAAGGACTAGAAGGTAAACTGTCCATCACGCTTATTATGTTTATTTCGTCTCATACCTACATTTTTTTTGCTTTTTGTCTATTTTAGTGATTCCAGAGAGGATTTTGAAGGACAAAGATGACTTCTACAGCTTTATTTCCAGGGATCCAGTCTCCAGCCACTCAAAAAATTGATTTTGGTAAAAGGGATAAAAAAGGGAAGATAAATTCTGTGTTTTGCTTCTCACCTTTCAGAAATATTCAGTTATGCTCTAAGGATAACCTTGAGTTCTGTGCACAATCCTTTGCAGAGAATCGTAGGAAGATCCTGACTTAAATCTTCAGAATAAGGGTAGATTTTATGCCCAGTAAGATAAGAGTGTGTTTCATTCTCGGCCTTTTGTTCTGTCTGCAGAAACATAGAACTCAGATATTTCTGGGTGTTTACATTATTTCCCAGGTCTTTTCCTTTTTAATAAATTAGCCTATGAAGAAATAAAGCATATCCACTGAAAAGCTCGTGGTTTGTGAGGCTCAGTGTTTGATATAATTTTAAAGTACTACCCAGAAGGATAAATGCAGGAGTGATCTGTAGGTCACATCATGAGGAATTTCTTGAGTGTGATATAAAAAGTACAAATTCTAAAAACTGAGCTGTGCTTAAAAGAATGTTAATGTTAGAGCTCATTGGACACAAAGATAGGAACGTAATATTAACAGAGGACTCCTGATTAAATTTCTTAAGTTTAGCAGTCTTGAATCATAATCTTAATGGTCCAGCAAAAGTGTACTTTGAATTTTTAAAAATGATATTTTAAGTAGTATCTGATTATAAAACTTTTCTGCAAAATTTTACAGATGTTAATAAAAGCATTCAAAGGAACATAACTCCTTTCACAGTGAAAGATGGAAAGCCAGTTCTTTACAGAGATATTGAGTCTTGGTCCGCTGAAAAGGTATCCTTCTAAAATTGTTAGTTTTAATATTAATGTCCTGTGGTCAAATTGATTGTGTTATTATCTTTGGCTATTTTTAGTTTATTAAATTTGCCAGTTGTGGTTGTAAAGAAGAAACAGGAAGAACAGGACAGGGAAAACAGTAAAAGTAGAGATAGAGAAGAAATTCAGTTGAATAAGAGATTATTCCTTGAACTTTTTTCAGATCTCTACTGATGCTTTATGTAAGTGTATGTTATGCCTGAAATTCCTCAGAGAACGTCTTTGAAATGTACTCTCAGAGTTGTTTTAGAATATTTGTTCTTGTAAACAGCATATAATCTAATAGAAAAGATCCAGAACTGGATATTAAGTCAAAGTTTTAGTCGAAATATCACCTAATTTTTCCTTAGATGTTTCATTTTTTTCCATCTGCTAGATAGAGTTGATAATCCTTTACAATAGTACACACAGATGAAGAGTTCTGAAAGAAGATAATGAAGATCAATTGCTGATGAAAGTTATTGAATAGTATTTCAATTTGCAAAGTAGTGGAGGTTACTGACAGCCCATCATCCAGCATGGAAATTTCATCAAATGGGTTAAATTCAAATTTTCAAATGTGGAATTGACTCAGGCTAAGTTGCAAATTTGTACTATACTCTTAGCTTCCATCATAACTGCTTATTTCAGTTTTGCATGAAATTTACACTTATTTTTGGCATAGCTTTGCAAAAGTAAAGATGAAAGAGTTCTGCATTTTCTCTTCCCTGTTCATGAAAATCTTGCATCTCGAAGCATGGAAACTTTTTATTACTTAGGCTAGCTTTCTAAGTCCTCTGTCTATTCTGAGGTTCTGATTTGCTAAGTTTTTGGTAAATTCCATAAACCTCTGGTGATGCAAAATGTAGTAGAGCAGTGTGCTGCTTTGCTATGTATTTGCCACCTTCAGTGAAAATTGCTGGGTTCAAGTACCCTGCTAAATTAGGTCTTAGGACCGTATCAAGACTAAGCTTTGAGAGGAGCACTGCAGGTAGCCTCGGGGGGCTAGTTCTGCAGGAATGTGCCCTTTGGAGGACAGCAAAACCTCTCCAACACACATGCCTAGGTTTGCTTTTTGCAGGAATGACAGAGAAGCAAAAGAGGAGGCCTGGTGTGCACAGGCACAGGACCTGTTGTCAAGAGAAAACCTAGGGCCAGAAAGCACATCCAGAGCTAGGAACATCTGTCAGTCCAGCACCTGGTCTTACAGCTGGTGATTCTTTGCAGTCAGTGATTGTCCAAAATTTTGCCTCTCAGCAACCTTTGGGATTTAGGAACTGTTCACATAGAATGGATAGTCTCTTTTGGCTGTTTCTAGGAATGTAAGGGTTTCCAAGAAATAAAAACTGAACAGCAAACTACCTGTTCTTAAATGGACAAAATCAGAATTAAGCCAAAATTACCTGTTTTGCATGTCTTGTGTCTTGCTGTGAATCTTTTAAGACTTTTATGACCAAGTAATATCTTAGCTTATTTAATGTGCAATTTTGTGGGGTATAATCTTGTGTTGACGGAGTGGTCTACTAGTCGGTCTCCAATTTCTTTTGTTCTATAGTAAACAGTTTGAACATATGAACTAATTTTTAGTTACTTTTTATACTGTTCCTTTCCCCAGAAGAAAGGAAGAACCTGTTTATATTCATGATGGTTAAGCCGTATAAACTAAAGACCAACTTTAATTACCTTGATATGTCAGAGTGCCTTAACTTCATCTATGGTCTAATTTTTTTCAGAGCTTTAGGACTAAAATGTGTCCTAATCCATATATATCTTTGTCTAAACTTACCTGCATGAGTTCTCCCATTGAAATGAATGGATCACTTTATGGTAGAGAAGATAAACACATGTCTTCACAGGGTGTGGGTGTAGAATAATAAGTATGATCAGTTTGTGTTGAATTATACACCACAGTATTACTGTTCATTCACTGTGTTTGATGCCTAGTGGTATGCAGAAAGAAAAGTATCTTTCTGAGTTTGCAATTTAATGAATGCACCTATCAAAAAATCTACAGATGCTGGAGAAGAGACCTCAGAAGAATTTGAGGCTGTATGAAAAGAGCACACTTTCATCAAGGTTGAAAATTTCAGACTTTACAAAGCAGGTATTCCCAGCCTTTGAAAGAAAAAAACACATTACAGAAGAAAAGAGTGTTTGTTTTCCTACTTCCAGCTGGGATATTGCTTATGCAAAATGTAAGTACGTTTTTCTTGTCTTTGCTTTTGTATTATTCATTGTAGTGCAGATTTTCGTGGAATTTTAACTTGTTGTCATCGAGGTAAAATGTGGATTGTAAGGACAAGGTCTTTATCTATAACTGCGTCCTTCCACAAAAAGCTAGTATTTACCTAGGACTCTATAGAAAAACACAACAGTTCACACAGATTTGTTTCTTTCCACAATTTGTCCTTAAAGGGAAGGTGAAAGAAAGATTGGGAAGATTAGTCTTTAGGCTCTGTATTTTAACTACCATTTTTTCTTACTATCTGCAAACTACAGAGGCTGCAGTCTGCTGCGAAGATACATTTGATACAGAATACAGATACATTTGTGTTCTGTTGGGTGCCCCAGAATTAGAGCTGCAGGGATAAATAATCCATTAATTCTTTGTTACAAATCCTAATACTAATCTATATAAAATCTTTTTTTTTTTTTTTTCATACTAAAGTAAGTAAAAAAATAAATTCTTGAAAGTAAATGTTTTTATTTGGTAGCATTTGGAGAAATGTAATAACATCCTGTGATTAACAAGAGTTACATCTTCTTAAAAGGTTCTCAGAGTGATAAACAGCCTATAACAGATTACATCAGTGAACAGAAAGATTTATTTCTACTGCAGGTACTTTAAAATACATATCTTGTTATGGCTGGAACTTTCTACTAAGTATAGTTTAAAAAAACACAATAAATTAAATATTAACTCTTGAATGAGCCTGTTTCCATCTGAATATTGGCAATATTGAGAGGTTTCCCCTATGCAGTCTCTAGGTTTTACCCTGTAATCTCTGATATCTAGATTAATCTCATTAATCTGATTAAGATAATACAGTCTTAGCTATTCTGGACTTCCAAGTGGCTAGTCCCAGCTAGTCATCCTTGGGTAGGCAGTGAAAAAGATGTTTCTCAAGGACAATTTACGAGACCTTTCTAAGCCACACGTTTTATGATTGGCTGAACCATTAGTAGGATGCCTGTCTTTTCCTAGTGACTATACAAAAATCTGAAATCTGCTACCTAGAATTGCCACCTATCATTAGCTGAGATGGGCCTGCTCATTACGGTAAAACTGCTTTTAACCAGCAGTCTTATTTATGTGTCAGCAAAGTAGGCAGATGCACAAAGCTTACCAACTAGTGCAAATATTTGCAGTTTTCCATGAATCTGATAAACATGTAGCCTCATGCATGCTTGCTGATGTCAGGTTGTTTCCTCCCCTCTTATGCCCCACCACCACTTCCCCAGGATCTCTTTGCTTGTAGGTCAGGCCTTGCTTGGCAGTTTTGTATTCAGTCTGAGTGAATCATTTTAGACAGGAATCAAGAGAGAAAGAAATTTTCTGTATAACTGAGGAGCACATACAGGACAGGTCATGATGATGCAGATTTTTCAACACCATTGTTTTATTCATTGTTTACTGCAGAGTATCAGCATGAGACCAAGTTGAGAGTAGGAGAGCTCACTGCTGTGGGACACTTAACTCTTGTACGTTCTGTAGCACTAACCATCAGCTGCTTTCCACTTGCATTCTGCATAAGAAAGCTTTTTTTCCACTGATAGAAGACCTGTCCTACTCAAGATCTTTTTGCTGTGAAAGACAAATAAAATATATTTTTATCAGATAACTAAGACATTATTTGTATAATGTGGCATAAAAGCATAATATATCTTGATTTTTGTTATTTTTTGACATTATGCACTATAAGCATTATTGCATAGTCTTGTATTTAATAGGACAGCTGGTTCTAGTTGCCTAAGCACATGCTTTTGGGGAGTTACATTTGCTTGCTGAAATGATGCTATGGAAATGCAAAGCACCATTTGAGCCAGAATTTTTAATGCCATACTGTAACACTCCTGTTTTCCTAGTATGCCGTAACAGAAAAGAAACAAACTGTAAAGCACCTGGAGGAGCTAACAGCACAGAAGGAAAAAGAAGCAAAATCTGCAGAAGAAAAGTTAGATAAAGAATTAATTGCATTTGAAGAATTTCTTGAACAAAATAGCATGAGTGCCATGGATGCATTTAGAAAGTTAGTCTCTGTTACAGTTACACTCCCTTTTTCCACTGAAAAATGCTGCAGATGCAATTCTCATATATTTCTCTATTTCTGTGTAGTGCAAGTAAAGAAAAAAAGTCCAAATTGAAAGTGGCAACACATGTAAGGTCAGCTGTGAAAGAAATCTGTACTCTTAGAAGGTGAGGTGATAATCTTACTTGCTCTTATTTTTGTTGTGTTTTTTATTTTGTGGCCTTGACCTGCTAAAAAAAACAGTCCTGGAGAAGAAATTTTGCAACTGCAGTTGAATAAGCACATGCTTTGTTTGATTTCAAATCAGTGAGTCCCAATTAAGAGAGTTAAATGAATTTGATTTTACAAACTCAGCTGAACAGTGCAGAGAGTGATCGAAGGTAGATGAACCAAGCTGGTATAGAGGGACTCTATAGATGTATATAGATGTATAGATTTTAGGGACTTGAATTCTTGGATATCAGCTGCTTCATCCATTTCACTACTGGCTTCCCTGTTAAACATTTTTGCATTAAAATTAAGTCTCCTGCCTTTTCCTGCAAAGGACTTTTACAGCTTGTGCATGTCACACCATCTCCTCCTAGTATTTGAAAGTGATTCCAGGCTTCAGATCAGCCTAGGATCGTGTGGCTGTGTTCAGTACCACTAACTACTGGTGTGTTTCCACACTTGAGTTTTCTGCAGGATGCTTCTCTGCAGTATTATAAAAGTACCACAAAAAAAAAAAAAAAAAAAGGTAGCAATATAGTTAAAGCTAGCAATATAGTTAAAGCTCTTCTGTAGTGGTGGGCACGTGGCAATATGCAGCTGAGTTACCCTAGGAACCAAGCGCATTCAGAATGGCCCCTTCCTCATTGCTACCATTCTAATAAGAAAGGTTATACTTAAAAACACAAGATTTCATACTGTAGGGAATAGGCAATTGCTAGTGCTTTAGAAACCAGTCTGTTCAAGGTAGGGAATTCTTTCCACATATTTTGGAAAGTTTTTGCTTGTTTGGTTTCAGTTTTTTTTCTCTTTTTTTTTGCACACTGCTGTTGAAGTGCAGGCATGAGGAGGCATTTTTGATCCTCCGCCCACCCACCAAATTTATCTTAAGCAAAGCAAGTACTATTTTATATTAGCCTATAAAATGTACTTTCTTTAGACCTTAAAATTTCCTAGTACTAACATGTTAGTTTTGTATACACAAGCAGACTGGACATCTAGGAATAATGGTATAAAGAATGCTTAAAACACAGCTTTGGCATGTTAATTAATTTATGCTGTTAATTAGCACATTGTATCAAACTGGTCTTGATGCTAGCAGAGTGCATGGTGTGAACTTGGCAGAATTCTCCCCATAGCCTCAGGGCTGGAGTGGGGATTAGCCCTGTAACCTCCATAAACTGGCCCAGATCTGAGTTCCTCTGTGGAGAATAAAACACAAGCGATACAGGAGGCCAGAAGTGATAGATGGATTTAACATAAAGGGGCAGGGGAAGGAAGCAGATAAGAGACTTAACGTTCACTTCATTATAAAGCTCAAGCTGCACTGTGTAATATAGAACTGAAACTTATAATCTCTTGGTCTGTAAGTGAGGGTTTTTTTTAGTAATCCATGCTAAGAAGTTTCTTAGTCTAAAACATAACTAAAATAGTTTGAATCTTAATTACTATGCCTTAATCACGTTATCAGAACGTGGCCATGATGTTTATGTATTAACTGTGAGCTGTAACATTTCTTTCTTTAGCGAAATCTCAGATGCTGAGTTTCTCCTCCAGGAGTCCTTGCACTATGAAGCTTTTTTGATGGAACTTTCTCCAAAAGAATGGCAAGAACAGCAAAAAGCAAAAAGAATGGGAGCAAGAGCAGAGAAACTCAAAGAAGAAGAGAAAAAGAAGGAGCTAATTACATGTAATTTCAATCTACAAGAAAAGAAAGATGCACAAAACTCAAAACCTCCTCCGTGCTGGACAAAGCCAACTGCAATGTATGTTTCCTCCTCTTTATTTAGGCAAATACATCCTGAAAATCCAAGCAAAATCTATTAAAGTGACTAAACTTATATTTAAACTTACATAGACTCCAAAAGTAGGAGGAAGAAAAGGGTTTGGATTAGGAGTTCTTTCACATCAATGTACCTTTGACAGAAGAGATTTTATTTTAGGCTCTGTATTTTGTTACCTCTCAATTCATTTACTTCTGTCATGAGGATTTATGAAAATATCTGCTTTTTTTTTTTTTAARAAAAAAAAATCTGGGAAAAAAAAAAAATAAAAATGCAGCCGGTAAAATTAACTATCCAGAAAGCAGAACACAGGAATGCACTGCCATGATTTTTTTTTTTTTAATATCAAGTTGCAGCCTATGTTGTGGTACTAGTTTGGCTGTGACTTTTAAACACATTCTTTACAGTTCTCAGTAAGGTATGTGGCCTGAACATCCCCTTTGCTTCTCTCTATTCTGCTTACTCGCTGACTCTCCTCCTTCTCCCCACTATCATTCTAAACCCTGATATTTAACCTAGTCCACTAACACTAAGCATGTTTATTTTTTTTTCTTACACAGGTCTACTGTAATTTTCAGGTAAGCTTTGCACATATTTAGGTCACAGTAGTTAAAGATACAATTTATGCTTGTCTCTGTAACCACACAGAGTGGTTTAACTGCGTAAAGAGTTTTTGTGAGATGAACAATATTCACAAGGGTTAGATCAGATTGTTGTTTAAAGAGCTGCCATAAAGCTTAATAATGTAGTTCCAAATAAAATTTAAGACTGAATTAAGCTAGACCACTGCAAGTTTCTTGTGTGCATCATGTCCATAGTTAAAGAACATTTCCCATACACATTTTTACACTACTTAGAATCGTAGAATCCTTAAGGTTGGAAGGGACCTCTAGAGATCATCTAGTCCAACCCCGCTGCGCACACAGGGACACCTAGAGCACGTGGTACGGGGCTGTGTCCAAGCGGATTTGGAAGATCTCCAGAGAACATCTACAAGTAGAGATCTACAGCCTCTTTAATTGTATCACATTAGTTCATTTGATCATTCAGCATAGAGATTGTATTTTATATTTTGTACATACTTTATAAAAAAATCAGAACATTAGAGAACATAACAGCTACTTTTGTTGTCAGTCTGGACACATTTATTGTGGGAAGATGTTGCAGTTCTGTTTTTATCTTCAGCCAGAATGCGACCATCAAAGCAGAAAGAGAAGCCTGTGGCAATCACAGAGAAGAGTGCAAAACACAAGAAGAAAACACTCACTGCCTGTGAGACTGGCCCACAAAAGACAGTTTTCTCCACTGTTAGAGGTATGAAATCTGAATACTAAGCTCACTGAGAAAGGCAAACCCTACTACGTCTGTATGGCTTACAACAGCATTTGTTGGCAAATCATGAAAATACTTCTGTTTAAGTGTGTGTATACTGAATGAATGAAAGTTATAGAAACTTTCTGTGTGCCTCTGCATGAATGTGCATTGGCTTAGAAAGATATCATTTTCTCTCTTGTTTAGAAGACGATGACCTCAACTCTTTTAAGGTAGGACTAGAAGAAGGAGTGGAAGAGATTGAATTTAGATCCGACTCAAGTGACAGCAGACCGTCATCACCAGGGTAAAATACAAGGAACAAGCCTTTCCATTTCCTGTTTGCTTTCTTCATCTATGAATATAAAAGGGATAAATGTATAAAAAAGGAAAAAAAATAGATGCTAAAGGGAAGCAAACCCTCCAACAAATGTATTTTTCTTAAATAAGCAGGGTGTATATCAGAAATTCATCTCCCTTCTTTTACAAGAGTCTGTTGGCAAGTTAAAGCCAAACAGTGAGCATGGTGTAAACTTCTCTGCTCTTCTGCCTGGAGTTTCCTTAAGTTCTGAGCATTAGTATCTCTTAGAAGAAGAAAACAACATAACTATCTATCCATTGCCTATGGGTGCACTTTGGATTAAGATGTCTTGCAGAGGAGTGGCGTGTCTTACTGCAGTCATTTACAACAGAGATGGGGTTGAAAATGCTCACCAGAGAAAGACTGAACTTGGGTCAGGATTATGGGAAAGTATCTTTGATGCTCCTGATGCAATCAGTTAAACAGCTGCCACCCTGGTTAGGGCTCTAAGGATTGCTCTGTCCGGGAGACAGAGCAATCATTACAAGGAATAAATGAAGAAATGATGGGAGAAACAGGATGAAAGAGTGTAAAGAAACAGCAGCACTATTGTTAAGTGTGTTAGTCATTTTTTATCTTCTCACACTGTCTTGGAAGTTGCAGATACCACCGTTCTACCCAGCCATTTCACATAAGGTTGCTCCTTAGCTGTCCAGATTTACTGTGTACTTATTAGTTGTTCTTGGGGCTACAATATAACAGTTGTAACAATATTACATCTGAAGATGGAAGCCTTATCTGTATCTTGATTTTGTTTTTAATCATGTGCTGGACCCTGTTTCAAGGGGTATCTTGTCTCAAAGGTTATATATCAACTAATGAGATAAAATGATGGCTTGATTTACCTAGTATCTGTGTATTGCTTATTTGCTGTTTCACACAAGAAGTCAGGGCAAAATCTGTTCCGGAAAGTGTAAGCGGAGTACTGAAGATTTCAGAAAACACATTAAATGAGTAATTTTTTTGCAGAAATAAGATCATTATTAAATTCTGCTGTTTAAAATCCAGTGAAGAACTCTTCTCTTCACTGTCAGCTTTCACTATCTAAAGAAATCAAGGCTGTTTTGAACAGATAATAGGTGTGTAAGGAGAATAAGGCATAAACTGAGTTGACAGCAACTGTTACAATAATAAAACAACTCAGCTTCCTTTGGAATAAAGACCACAAGAACTAATATTTTTTTTTCTTTTAATAGGTGGGAAAATAGGATGGACAGTGTAACATATGACTTGCCTGTGGAGGATGTGGACTGTGATGTGGTAATGAAATGATCCTTTTTGATGAGTATTGCTTTTATTTGTGTGTTTTGTGTGGGGCAGAAATGGTGTGGAGGAGGGAAGCCCCAGGCTGCACGGCTGCAGCTGCTCTGTAATGCCCTAGCACAAAGGCTGCAAGTCTCAGCCTGCTTCCTGGTTTCCACTCCTAATGTTGGACATTAATGTTTGGGTAATGTTTTAAACTTCATAAGAAGGATATTTTCGTGAATCTGAGGTTATGAAACATGTTTCTTCTTGGCCAATAGATACTCTGTATCTTTCCTCCCTCTGCCTTAGGTGCCAGAGATATATTTCACTGATCCAAAACAGTTACTTCAGATTTTCAGCGATCTAGAGGAACAAAACCTTGCATTGATTCAGACTATTCAAGACTTAGGAGAAACTGTGGATGAAATTGAATATACAGCCAGTGCCATAAAGGAAAAGATGTAAGATTTTATTTGTCTGCATACTGAAAAAGCCTATTAGAAAATCAAAATGGAACTAATTGAGTTGTCTTTTGGGTTAATGATGGATAGGCAGTGAACTTTACCTATGCTTTATATGTGTTTCAGTTGTCATTCCTAAATTCCACAAATTCTTGATTATTTTGTGGTGGAATAGAGGAGAAGTAGAATCTTAAGTTATCAACTGCCCAGCTTATTGTCAGTTGAGAATCTCAAGGGTTGGGGAACTGGACTACAAGTTCCCAATATATTTTAGTAGAAGTGTGTTTATACCTGTTCTGTCCTCTCACGGACAGGAGATTTTGTTTCCTGCCTTAAGGAGCTACTATGCTTTAACACAAAGGTGATTGCATTTTATAGCAAAATGACATTCTGTGTATGAATATGTGCTTTTGTTTTAGGGTGTGTGGAATGTTATGTACCCAGACCTTTTGTCTGACAGCATATATTTCACCTGCATTAATACAGTCATATGAGTACACAAGTTATTTTTTTCTTAATGCTTAAATCACAGAATCATAGAATGCTTAAGGTTGGAAGGGACCTTTAGAGATCATCTAGTCCAACCCCGCCCTGCACATGCAGAGTCACCTACAGCACGTGGCACAGAATTGCGCCCAAGCGGGCTTTGGAGATCGTCAGGGAATAGTTCAAAATTTATGGTTTTTTGAAAACAGAACGAAACAAAATTAAAATTTTGAAAACATATGTTCTTTTTTCTGTTAATTGCCAAAGTAGCAAATATTGGTTCAGAAGATAGTTGTTAGTGCTAACTTAAAATTTTCCACATCACATTAAGGTGTATAATGCAATATTATCTCATAACTAGATTCAAGAGCACTAAGAAACTACTGTAAGGACTGATTTCTAGTATTTTAGTTTAGTATTTTTAGCTTTTCTGAAAGATCTGGGTAAACTGCTAATTGATCTTACTGCACAAATGGAACTGCCTGTGTGAAGACTGAGACTTCCATCTGTTTTTACCACAGAGCTGACAAAATAAGGATCCTGGCTAGACACAAAGAGGTGCTAGAAGCAGCCTGTGTTAAAGAAGAAGAAAAAAGTGTCCAGTTGGCACTAAAGACTAAGATGTTTTCTGTTGGAGAGTTTAGTTCAGAAGTCCAGGTAACTTTTTTTGCAAAACACATTTTAAACAATGATTTTAGGTTCACAGGTTCAGAAACAAATTCTGGGCTCCCACAACTTTCATTAAACCCAGACTATTGGCTTCTAACTTCTACCTTCCCAGATATTTCATTTTGATATCACCAAATACCTAGTTCGCAGAGCACTCCCACAGTTTTTGGCAGGCTGAAGTTGCACTGCTTAAACCAAATTCCACACCTATGTAATAGCACCCAGGAGGCTCAAGGGAAGTTCTGGCAGTGTAAGGGAATCACATGAACTATGGCTTCTTGGCTTGTCAAGGGAAGCCTTCAGAAAAGGCCTGGAAGTCCCTCCAGGACATTTTTTCAACTATTCATGAGCCCTGGCCTGAAAGTGGTTGTGGAGCAACCGTCATGTGAGCTGAAATTAATTGTAAGTGTAGGGCTTGCTCTCTCCCTTCCCCCTTGTGCTGCTGCACGATTTTTCATCCTTTTGATGATGCCCTTCAGTCATATAAAAAGTCAAGGTCTCACATAGCAGATTTTTGTCAAAATAAATTGATGTTTTCTTCTACAAGGTGTCTTCTAAGTGTGGTGAAACTAAGCTAATTGCCCCTAATGTCTCAAATTCTCCAGCCTTCTGCCTGAAGTCATCCTTAAGGTAGTCTAGTTTGTGCATCAGTAGATGTAACAGGTTAAGTTCACTGGTTTAGCTGGAACACATCAGAGACCATTTTCTTAGTACCCAGGCACTCCTCACCTGGTTCTCTGAGGAATATTCTTATGTTTGATATTTGAACATCTTCTGTTAGAAGAAACATGAGCAAGCTCCTTCTGGCCTGGCAAACTCTGCAGTTTCATTTTACAGCAAGTATCAGAGCCTTTCTCTGTCAGTGAGCTGTGTACTTGTTCAGTGTAGGGCAAACTACTGTTGAGCATAATGCACACACACATTCGCCGGCTGCTGATGGGATGAAGGTGCCTCTCACACCTGTGGCAAGTGCACATCAGAATCACATACTGTCCTGCCATTTTCACAGGATTATCACAAGTAGAAATGCTACTTTTGGTGTATTTTCATAAATCTTCATGAGTTTGTTTTTACTTTTAAGGATAGAATGCTGAATATGCTTAATAAGAAGATTGCAGAAGTCTATAAGTTTAGTGTTGGAAGAGAAGAGACATCAAATCTTGGCTCAATTCAGATGTTGAAAAAAATTGAGGATCGAATAGAAGAACTGTGTGACTTGATGGAAACAATCCCAAGTGAAATTATTGAACAAGCTGAGAAAAGAAAGATGAATGAGAGAAGGAAAAGGTAAGATATCCAGTCTGCATGAAATTTGGATATTCTCATCTAATTTGTTCTTTTATGGTCTCAATTAAGTTGCCCGGTAAAAGCTGATGGTTGGGTTTTTTTGTCCTCTTAAATCCTTTCTCCGCTCCATATAGCATTAACTATTTATGTTATACTCTTGATATTGCTTGTATTTGAAACTAACACATGGCTTTCAGAAATCATTGGTTGACCAAGTACATCAGGCAAAGTAGAAATTTCATTGTCATTTTACAGTATCAAATACCAAATACAATTGGGTTCCTATCTGCAGTACAGCTCTCCAAGCACAATGGTCCTGTGTAATGATATATATGGAATAATATATATTTTTATATCACTGTTAAAAAAACCCACAACTTTGAACCATACTATTCATCCAGTAAAATGTGTTCAAATTGTACTTTGCATTTGCTTAAAGAATAACCTCCTCTACTTACACATTACAATTGGCCAGAAGCGCAAATAATTTAATGTGATGATCGCTTAGTTGTTTTTGAAGAAACTTAACATGCACTTCTCTATGTGCTAAACAATTGCAGAAATATTTAGTATCATACTGGCATTAAGTAGCTCCAGTTACCTTATTGTATTAAGTAAAAATAATAAAACTTTAATCTCCTCCATTTGTTCTTTATCATGGTTGCACACTACCAGCTTTTAGTTTGTGATATTTAATGTTAGAATTCCTTGTAATTATTGTGACAGAAATTTAAGGTCTGCTTTTTATAGAGTACATCAGATGTAGCTTTTGAGAGGTCATGTATGTTACCTTTAGTATTTTAACCATAGTATTTTGATTCATTTCTCAACTCTGTTTTCCTAAGGTGTTTGCAAACAGGAGTCAACGCTTCCTGACCAACTCCCCTTTCAAAAACAACTTACTACCTCTCAAATTAACACAATTGCTTCCTTTTAAAAATTGCAAGCTGTTTCTTATTTATTTCTTACAAGTTTCTCAGGTATTTCCTCCTCCCTGTCCACTGCAGATTACGTGAAGAAAAACTGAGACGAGAAAAGGAACTTCAGACAGAACGCCTGAAGTCTTCTCTACAGAGAGCTATCGCAGAACCAAAGAAAAAGGTCTGTTCTTTATCTATTCTTTCCGTGTTTCATGATGGTAAGATATTAACTACAGAGTCAACACAAACACATCTTTCCTTAATAATGAATCTACAGCCATGCTTCAAGACTCAAAGCAGCAGTGTTTCTTAGGGACACTGTTGTCTAACAGATCTCCAAATCTTATCTACTGTACAGGCTACAACTCTTCCAAATAAATAAACTACTTCCAAATAGTTTATAAACACATTTAAAAGTTAAGCACAGTTTAACAGCCATATGTGCATACTGTGAAGTGTATGCTTTGCTGTATTGTTCTGTGTTTCAGGTGGGAAGACGACTGGTATTTCGTTCACAACCTTCAGCCATTAAAACAAAGAAGGCAGCCAAAGCTGAGGTCCCTGCGAATACGGAGGATGACTTGCAGTTTTTCATTTAGAGGTTCCATTTCCTTTCTACTCAGAATAGGGTTAAGACAGCATTAGAGCTGTTCAACCACTTGAGAGCAAAGGGACCCGCTAAGAAACCATCAGGGTGCTGCAGCAGGCACAGCTGTATTATTCTACAGCCTGTTTTATCAGCATTAGAGAGAGAAGAGGCTGTTCTTGCTGCTCCTTCACCCTGCTCATCCATTCAGCTAAGAACAGCAGGAACAAAACCCATGCACACAAGGTGGGGAGTTCATCTCCCATTCCATGCTAATTTTTCCAATTTTAGGTTGCAGTATTATTCCCTTTCTCCAGCATTAGTTGTTTAGATGTCATTAAGTTATTAGAAATGATTTAAGTGTTAGCCTTCCCCATATGTAGAACAAGTAAACACAGTACAACGAAGTTGTGGAAAATAAAAAAAGACCAAAAAAAAAAAAAGTTTATTTTCAGACATACAAAACACCTATTCCCGCATTTCTCCATCTTCTTCCTCTTCTTCCACACCTCTGATGTACAAAACGTTATTGCACCTATGAACAGAATAATAAACCAAACTGTTAGCTGTAAGTACATTTGTTTTACTTTTAGCCTCATACACACTGTGTTAAGCATTTTCCTGTCTCACTGTAGCTTAGCAACAGGTAACTTATGTTTGGTAAGTTGTGGCTGTTCACGTTGTACTGCTTTTCCTTGGTGTTCATTGTAATTGCAGGAAAACGGTGTCTTCAAAAGTATTAACCAATTAACTGACATTAACCAATTAACTGTTAGTTGGTTAATCATTTTTACTTCTGAATCTGAAGATCATTTCACTTCTGAATTATGGTATAATCTAGCTTAACATTCAAGCACGTAAAATTAGCAGTATATAATACACCGTGTTAATGCCAACAGATTAGATCTACAATGGTTTGACACTTAGCTACTGAAGAGAGAATCATAAATTCCTCTTTATGAGTATTTCTTCTTCTTCACGGTTTTCCTCCCTTCGTGAGGAACCTTCCCTTAGAGGCTAAGGGTCTTTGCTCAAGAACTGTAGTCAGTAGCCACAGTTGGGGCACACACGCAGCCAGGAGCGGAGCACCGCGCGCTCCGAGCTCTAGCGCGAGCGACACACAGCAGCTGTGAGGAGGCAGCCCCGCCACGCACAGCCCGCGTACCTGATGAGCACCTCGCCGAGGTGCCCGGACAGCGCGCCGTCGATGTACTCCTCCGTGTTGGCGAGCTGCGGGACACGGGCAGCACGGTTAGCGCGAGCGCCGCGCACAGACCCGCCGCGCCGCGCGCCCGGCGCCGCCGCTCACCTGCATGTTCATGTAGCCGTCCACGGAGACGAGGTAGCCCTTGTACTCCATGCCCCACTTGAGCTTCACCATCACCGGCTTCCCCGTGAGCCCGTTCAGGAAGGGCTTGGGGTTCAGCGGCAGGCTCTGCCGGCGAGAACCCCCGTCAGCGCGACCCGGCCCCGCGCGCCCGTTAACGGCCGCCCCCCGCCCCGCCCCTCGCCCG